AAGATTTTAATTCACATTGAATATTCCTTTTGTACCAAATAGAGTGACTAGCTGTCCTGATCTGCCCCAGACTGAGGGGTTTCCAGGATGTAGGACTTGCAGTGCTAAAGGAAAGAGTCCCAGGCAAACCAGGACTATTGGCCACTCTTATCAGGCATTCTACTCAACAATTTAATATGTCTTTTTAAATGACAGCCCTGCAAATAGGCATTCTCATTCCCATTTTATACATAAGGAAGACTGAGGATTAAAGAGGTTAAATGATTTGTCCAAGGATATGCAGTTTATAAATGTCAGAGTCAAGATTAAACCCCAGATTTGTTTAACTATAAGCTCATGATCTCTCCCCTACTTTCCAATTGGAAGTGCGGGTGCTTTACAGCTGTTAAAATCTGCACAGGGAAAGATAACCCTGTGAAATACTTAGTTTAAAAATTGATTTATTATAGGCTAGTTTCATTGAGGTGTTGCTAATTTGCATGATTGACACATAAGAGAAGAAAAGCAGCTGCTTAAAATGCATAAATTATTTGAAAGTGATAATGAGCCAGGTAAAATTTAAATTACACAGTCTCAATCCATTTAGTCTTCCCTTCCTCTAGTGGGAGGTGGGGTGGATGGGAGACAAACCTGACATTTATTTACATGTCTAGAAAAAAATGAATCCAGTTAAAAAAAAAAACTGGGTGGCTCAGTTGGTTAAGCGACTGCCTTCGGCTCAGGTAATGAGTTCCCGGGCTCGAGTCCCGCATCGGGCTCCCTGCTCGGCAGGGAGTCTGCTTCTCCCTCTGACCCTCCCCCCTCTCATGTGCTCTCTCTCATTCTCTCTCTCTCAAATAAATAAATAAAATCTTAAAAAAAAAATTTTATTAAGCTACGTTTGAATCGAAGACCACGCACTCCAGTCAAATTAGTATAGAGCAAAGTGAGGAGAAATATTAGTACTTTGATGGTGGTTGGGTTAGTAGTTTGACAAATGAGATAGTTTGATAAATGAGAGCTTGGTTTTCTTCCTTTCTCTAATTCCAAGATCAATTTATTAATTCATTCTTTTCTTTCTTTAGGAAAAAAGCAGTCATTATAGTTAAATACTCTTTTAAAAAATTAGATGTTTAGATTTTTTATAAAAAGTTAATACATTCAAGTGGTTAAGAGAAAAGCATAAAAAGTCTATTCAATGAAGAGTCTCCCTTCCAACCTCAAGCCACACCACACAGTTGTTTCCCTCGACACAACTGATCACCACTATTCATTTCCTGTGTGTACTTGCAGAGCTAGTTAATCACATGCAAGCAAATACTCCTTCTCCTTCCACAAAAATGGTAGCGTATTAAGGACATTATTCTGTATATGGATTTTCTTTTAAACACAATCACACATCTGACGATAAATCAGTAGATAAAAAGCTTCCTTATTCTGTTTCATGGCCACATAATATTCCACTCTATGAATGTACCATATTTCTTAAACTAGTTCCCTGCTGATAGTACATACATCACTTAACAATTTTTAATTTATCAAATAATACATTCACATGTTTAAAAATTATATATATGGATATATATTAGCATCTTTTACTCATTCATGTCTTCCATTCATCCCAGTTCTCCCACCTCACCACACATACACCCAGATAAAAATGTTATTAGTTTTAGATACAGCTTTCCGTTTCCTTATACTTAGAGAAGTAAATACAAATGTATATCCTTATTTTTTCTCCTTTTATAGCCTCCTATATACACTATCCTGTGTTGTGAGTTTTTCATATGAGTACGTAGTGAGTGTCCTCATTTTTTGTTTAACTGTATAATTTTTTTTTTTATAAAGTTACTGGTGAATAGGGGAGGGAGGGAAGGAAATTGTTTTTTTGTTAAGTTTTTATTTTTTAAATTTATTTATTTTTAATTTTTTAAATTTATTTGACAGAGAGATACAGCGAGAGAGGGAACACAAGCAGGGGGAGTGGGAGAGGGAGAAGCAGGCTTCCTGTCGAGCGGGGAGCCCAATGTGGGGCTTGGTCCCAGGACCCTGGGATCATGACCTGAGCTGAAGGCAGACGTTTAACGACTAAGCCACCCAAGCACTCCCAACTGTATGATCTTTTATTGTGTGGGTATACCAAGTTGTATTCAACCAGTCCTCGATTAATTAATGGTCATCGCCTACTCTTTTGCCTATTCAAATGCCCTGTGGCTCAACATCCTGTGACTATTGTCTGGACAGATAATTTAAGGTATGCGCTGAACTGCTTCTTTCTTAAGAAATTTTCTCATTAAGGGTTAAATATTAGTGCTGAATTTTTTGTTATTCTACACATGGCAGAAACCTCTTACCTTAAGCACCATAAATAGTCTCTCTGAATATTATTGAAATGCTGTTGCTACCACAATGAGAAATTACAGAAAACGCAGCGGCAATGATTACATTACTCTTCCCTATTGATTGAGCTGTTGCGGCCGATCCTGCGCGTGAGTGTGCTGAGAATGCTTGAGAACAACTGACAATACCCGGGGAATTTGTTTTTAATCTTTCTTTCTTTTGGGTGTGGAGAGGGTGCTGTGCGGAATGTGGAATTTGGAAGCCTCGGATGTTCACTGATCTTTAAAATGTTCCCTGACTAGGATCCAAAATGATAATTTCCAATGATCCCTAATTAATTACTTCAAGAGCTGGAGTTTTATATCACCAAATAATACAGAATATAGATAAATCTTGTTTTAGATTTATTTTAATGCAAACAGTTCGCATATCACATACAATACTCTAAAATCCTTCGTATGCAAGAGACATTAGAAGGCTTTTATTTAAAAGGCTAAACATAAATTATGGTAAAGTGGCTTTGGCTCTAAGATGGTTTAAATGGAAACAATCCAGTGGGGGGCAGGACAATTAGTCTACTTTTCGAAAATAGAGGCATGTTTTGCAATAAAATAGGGCAGACTGCTATTCCAGAGAGGATCTTTAATTCTAATGTATATGTACAACAGTGTCTCCATCAGACATAGCTGGGCAGCATAAAGTAAAATGAAATAGCATTGAAATATAGCAATAATTATTTAGTTTTCGCATCAGGATGAGTTTGGGGGATGTAAATTTTGTTACTCAAGATAGAACTCATGGATTTAAAAATTTAAAGAATAAGGATTTAGGCTTCAGAGACCGTATGACATTTTGGCACCTGATGGGCAAGGGGGTGTAGTGGTCAAGGTACTGTCTGCAGGACAGTCCAGACCCGTGAAATTCATAGCCAACATGGGTATGCATTCCAGTTCCAAGGTTTTGTTAGCTCCGGATCGATTCCTAAGCCTCTGCTTCTCCATCCACCATGTGGGGTGGTTGTGACAAACTCCATGCCTGCCTATTTCAAACTCTCAACGAGTGGCAGCTTTCACAGCTTAGTCACTATACCAGGCACTTCTCCAAAGCTCTTGATTCTCACCTCTGATTTGCCTCATCTTGGGGGCAAGTTCTGGTGTCACACTGGGGTGTCAGATGGTGGCTTGGGAAATGATCATGAAGGCCTGAGTTCTGGGAAGCCACATCTCTCTCTCCACCCCTTTGAATGTCCCAGGGCTGATTTTGTGAGCAGTAGGCCAAGGGCTGAGGATGGGGAAGGCTTAGTAACTGCTTGAAACCTCCCTATCTGATGACTGCTGTGCTAGGGCCCTGGCTCTTTTTGTCCCCAATCACAGCACTGCTGTTGGAGGGTTACTTCAATTGGGTGAAGCTCATACTGTGGGGTAAAGAACGTAAACTCCATACTATGCATTGAAACTCCTCTTCTATATCTGTCCATATATTTTTGAGCACCCAGAAGAAATGGTGAGAAACTAATGATCAGTTTACAGCAATTTAAAAGGGTGCTTTTCATGTCTAATTCCTACATTCTAAAGTACAGTAACCTGTCAAGCTATACAGTAACCTGTCAAGCATTTTCTTATTTCTTTAATGCAAGTAATAAAGAATGGGGAAAAATAGGGTAATGAAATCAAAGCTGTATTTTGACCAGTTTGTATATGTATTATGAAGAATTCATAAGGTATCTAAAGCATCTATGATACAGAAGAATCAAAACCGTATTTAAAGAGTATGCCCTTCAGAAAAGGTCAAAGAAAGCCAAGCCTATGGTTTAGAAATGGTAACAATGTACAGATTCAATGGGAAGTTTTAGGTCAGAGCTGATTTTTAAAAACATCTGAAAAGCAAATCAAGTCTAAATAAACATTGGAAATAAACAGCACACAAGTATATATGGGTCTGAAATTTTTCTTGCATTTATAATCCTCGATCTGCAGGAGAACGGCCACATTTTCAGTCACTATTTATCCTAGGTAGATATTAGGCACTTAATGAATAAATGATGAATAAACGCATTAATTAGTGAACTGGAATAATGTCAGTGTCTAAAAACTTGTGACAAATTACAACATTTACAATATTTTCAATGTGATAATAGCAAGATGCAGATCTACATCTTGAATGTCAAATGTCTCATGGTTGAGTGATAAATCTAAAAATAAGACAAAAGAATTCTCCAGTACTTAAGGAAAAAACCATAAATGTCATCCATAAATCTGTTGCCTTTATAAAAATGCAGACTTTTGATTAAATATGTAACAAAAGATAGGTCTCATGACCATGTTACTCACAATTAGTTAATAATTTGCAGCAAGGGGCAGTGAGTTAATGTGTCATTAGTAATATTCAAACACACCAAAACCTAAGCTGGAAACCTAGAATAGCTGTATTTGAGGTCAAGTAATTATACTAATCCTTCCCCTAATTTTTTTGCCATTTTCTTATTTTAAGAGCAAAAATAGAAACAAAAAATACGTATTTTTAAATAGTGCAATTAGTTCACTTGCTTTATTATCTGGAGATCTTATAAAGTAATATTTTATTCGGAGTGATTCTTGCAAGCTATTTGAAATTAAACATTTTCTCTGCACCTGTAAAAATGTGTAAATGATGAAGCTGGCAGCATGATGATCACTTTACAGAGAAGCATTTCCTTCATCATCTTCAAGGTCATTCAGATTTATGATCTAATCACCCATGGCTCTTTAACAGGATGCATTTGAATCTGATTAAAGAAAAAACAAATAGCGGTATAGATTTATTAATAAAATGTGCCTGAGTGTCTCACTGATGTATACCTCTTTCCACAAATGAGGAGTTAAAATTCACAATAAAAGAAGGGAGTTTCTGGGGACTTAATCTCAAATGTTTCAGCTTCTGAGTTGCTTCAGGAGTTGCTGCTTGTGTATTGGTGTGTGTGGATTGTGAAGGGCTATCTGTTTCCCCCCTCTTTCTCTTTGGGGTTTAATTACTTCACCTACATCCTAATTCAGGTAACTCATAAAGCTTAGCCTTTGTTGTAGGTCCAACAGCTGTCTTATGTCAGTAGCAAGTGAAATGTTCACAAAGTACCGGAATGCTGCAAGACAGTTTATAGCGGTGCAATAAAAGGTAAATTGAATTTACAAAGATGCATTTGTCACTGATTAAAAACTTACAAAGTTAATTGGAAACACTGTGGAGGTGTTACCACACAACTCGAGGTGTAATGGGTGGTTCTAATTCAGCCTGGAGGGGAGTTGCGGGTCCCGTTATGGTCTCCCACAGTAAGATGCCCGGCGACGCGCTCCAGTTTAAGTAGCAAAGCAACACAATAAAGATCTCGAATATTTTTAATAGGAGGGGAGTGTAAATTGACTCACATTTATTCTCGAGAATAGCTAAAGGAAAAAACCTTCAGTGTTACAAAAATGCTAAGTGTGCTGATCACATGGCTTCCCCCAAGAAAACATACTGAAAGTTTTTTATTTTCTCCATCTGCAGCTTTTCTTATTTTTCTGATAGTTACCCCGGCGGCACCACTGCAAGAAGCGTATCAGTTGGGAAGGGAAAAATCAGACTGAAATGGCCAGCAATCTGAAGGCAGCAGAACCCTCCCTTGGGACCATGGCGAATTATCTCCACATAATTCGCTTAACCTTTGGCATTTGGGGACTTGGGAAACTGAATGTATTTCTAAACTTGAGGCTTTTAATTGCTGGTTTTAGTGTCACTGGTCCAGCTCAGTTGGAGAGATGATGATTGAAAAACAGTTCTAGGAGGCTTTTCACCTCTGGTGCGCATCCTGGATATAATTAAGTTGGTGGCCTGGGGTGGCCTTTACATTTCTGCAGACAGGACTGAACAGTTAAGCCCCAAGTGATGGGCCTTATGTGGGCATTCTGTGTGTGCCTTGACTAGACTAGGTATATGTGAAGAGATTAAAAGGAAAAACACTGAGATAACTAAACCAAGTAATCACCTTCAGTAAACTCATTACATCAAATAACTAGTACCAAATTATCAGAGTCACAGAATTTTTTGGCTGGAGCCTTGGAGATCATATGTTTAAATTCAAATCGCGTGTACTGAAGTTTATGCATATTTTTATTTCCGTATAATTTATATTCTCTACTTTCCAATACTCTAGTAGTATTTACCAGACGTGTTTTTGATGTTAGAGATGGTACTGATAATGGCATTTTTATATGGGTTTAATTTGTTACCTCTGATGGATGGGCAAAGTTTTAAGTCTGATGGATTCCTTTCGTCAACAAAGGAGACCATATAGCCCCACAAATCTATTTCTTTTAAACTAGTGTTTACTTACATAGTGCTTACTATGTGCTAAGTGCTTTTCGTATTTAACCCCATTTAATCCTCACAACAATGCTCTAAAATAGGTGCTATCATTATCCCCATTGTACAGATGAGGAAACTGAGCTTCTAAGATGTTAGGTAACTTGCCCAGGTAAGCACTGGAGCCAGAGTTCCCATCTTGTACTGTCCAGCTATAGAGGAAGCGCTCTCTGCTATATGGCCTCATTACCACTGAATCTGGAGGTCAGAGCCCTATTGTTAATATGCACAGACGACATATTAACTTGACCTTTGCTGGTTCCCTAGGATTGGGGACTGACATCAGTAATGAACTGAATAGTAGGAGCAAAAGTGGAGCTCATTTCTAAGAGGTAATGTGCTATTGTGGAAAGTGCACAGAATTTGGTATTTGAGTCCGAAACTTCCCTAATAGGCTTCCACTGACCTGGATAAGGCAAATTCTTGAAACCTCAACTTCTTTATCCATAAAATGGGAGATAATACACCTTATGGTGGTTGTGAGGGTTAAATGGGACAAACACTAGGTAAACAGTAAAATTCTATTTAAATATTAATTACGATTTTTCTTCAACTTCATATAATATTATTTTTAGGCTTTTCACCAAAATCTCTTATAAAATAGTTGCACTCACAAGCTGCTTGATAAACTTACTTGAGTTCACTTGGAAGGAGCACTGAATAGCACACAACACCAATCCTAGGAGGACTCATTGGCCCTTTGCTGTTACCTGTTTTGTTCAGAATATTCCTTAGGTGTTAGGAATAGGTAATGTATGTAACTCTCAGGAAATTGTCTTCCTGAATGATTCGTATGCAGTGTTCAAGGAACCAATCATTTTGCAACCACAGAAAAACTTGAAGATAGAGGAAGATGTCAAGTTAAAAACTCTGAAAGTTTGCAGAATTTCATTAGACTTCTTTGAAAAATCAGAAATGCATCATTATGGAAGGGAACTTAGGAGAATGTTAATTATTTCATCGTTTGGGCGTGTAAAAAGTGGCTCAGCCAGAGGCACCCAGGAATGTGCCCCAATCAGCAGGCAGTTCCATTTACCCTTTAATTCCTCCCATTAAGCGTCTTTCTTTCTTTTTATCTCGTATCTGTGGCTTATTGAATTTTCTAAAGCCTTTGTTTATAAAATTGTCCTTTTATTGATGCTGCTTATTAAGTAAATATAGTTGCAACACAAATCCATTATTATATTTACAAGATATCAACTATTCACTGTCATCAACTCTTGGCACCCATCTCTAACCAGACACAAGTACAATCTGAATGATTTCAATCTACAGATAAATTAAAGAAACAAATTGTAACTCTACTTCTTTTTCTCACCAGCTTTTGGTGAAAGAGTCAAAATGTAAAATGGCCAAAAGAGTGAAATTCACAAACTTAATGATCACTTCTTCAAATCTCTGAGGTTGAGAGCAACTACCCCATGAAGTATAGATTACTATTATCCCATTCTTTTTTATAATAAGGAAATCAAGGTTTTAAGAGACTTGTCTAAGATCAGTGGAAGCAGGTCAGAGAAGACCCTGGGATTTACGTAACAAGCCCTTTCATAGAAGGGCTCACAGGGATGTTTCTGCCACAAAGGATAAGTACTCTTCAATACAAGCAAATTTGTATTCTAATCTTTGAGCCCACGGAAGTAGCATCACCTTCCACAAACAAACTCAAATTTATTTATAAATATGTATCAAAAACAATTCCATATTTTAAAAGCATTTACCTCAACACACCCTTCTTTTGAAAATATGAGGAGGCAAGTAGAAATATATAAAGTGAATTGTGGTTTAAGAGGAAAAGTTGGAACAACAAAAATACTGGAATAAATGAGAGGTCACTTTCCTTTGTTTCTAAGTAGGGTATTTCCTCTGACCTTGAAGAGTAACCTCTACTTTAAGGCTCAGATCTATAAGATTTCAAGACTTGAATGAAACATGGATGACTTCAGAATGACATTTAAATGGTCACACAGCCTCTTCTGGCTAAGGATTTCAAAATATTTATGAAGAAATGAACCCACATGTTATATTACTATTAGGAGGTATTGGTAATATGCACATATTACCCAAATTATGCCACCTACAGGCAGAGGAACTGAGCAGCTGAAAGATATCAAATCTCGCGTCTAAGGCAAGGGTCTTCCTTCTCACTGGGCTCTATAGTACTAAGTTCCTGTTCACAGAGTTAAAATTTTATGTTAGATAGCATGGAATCATCACTGAATGTAGAAGTTAGAGTTTAGATACCAATAAAAATGATTAGCTGTGTAATTCTGACAGTCTTACAACCTCTCTAGGCCTTAGCTTGCTCATCTTTAAAATGTATATTTATAGGAGAGAGAACTGGGAAGGAAGGAAGATATGTCAGCTCAACATTTCCAAACTCTGTCCCAAGGAACACTAGCATTGTATGCTGGGGCCAGAAGCTTGTGAGACAGCGGGTGCCATGTTGGCAGTTTGAAATTGACCATGGTGAGAATTTATACCATGGAAACACAGGTAAATGCTACAAATCGGGCCCCCCCCCTTTCCCAAAAGTTGTTAAACATTTGCCATTACATCACGAATGTTCATAGATACTCTTTGCATAAAGAGTTCTACAGTCAAATAGGTTTTGGAAACACGAGGTTTCACAAAGTTAAACAGGTCCTTTCTCTTTCTCCATCCTTCTGTCCTTCCTTCTCTCTTCCTTCTTCTCACCTTCCCTCTTTCCTTTTCTCCTTCCTTCCTTCTCTTGTCCTGACAAGTAATGTGATTCTTAAGGACACCAGCAAGAGATATACAGCACCTCACATTACAAAACTTTATAAAAATGCTTTTCAGACATACCTCTTACTCCTTAAATTCCAGTCCTCACTGGGAATGGATCAAATCTTTTCCGATTTCTCTTCTCTTTCTCCACTTTCTCTGAGATCTAGATCTTCATTTCTTTTTCAGTTAGCATGCTATTTTTGTATAAAGTAATAAATATATATTTAGAGAATAAAATATGAAAGCCCCACCCCCTCATACCAGGTTTTTCTTTTCTTTTTCTTACTATAGGTCTGCCAAGACTTTATATGCTAATGTGCACTGTGAGAGGACATTTCAAACTTTATTTGAATACAGAAACTGCTTCCCTAAACACCTATTAACATGTTGAAGTACATGGATTTTTTTTGGAAGGAAGTTTCAGAAATAATGAAGTAATGGATTTCGAAGAAGTCTTTGAGCTGAAAAATTATACTAAGTGTATGATTTTATTTTTATTTTTTTTAAAGATTTTATTTATTTATTTGACACAGAGAGACACAGTGAGAGAGGGAAAACAAGCAGGGGGAGTGGGAGAGGGAGAAGCCGGCTTCCCGCGGAGCAAGGAGCCTGATGTGGGGCTTGAATCCAGGACCCTGGGATCACGACCTGAGCCGAAGGCAGATGCTTAACGACTGAGCCACCCAGGCACCCCTAAGTGTATGATTTTAAAGATTGCTATTATTTCAGATGTAGGATGAACCACATGGTGTGTACAGGTCGTAGGTTTTGGATAAGCTTTTGAAACAAGGACTAATGATTCTGTTGACTTACTTTGAGAATGGTAAAGAGTCACATTGTTTTCAAGTATTGAAATGTTCAGATTCCTTTTATGTTTATCTAGAATATAGGTGTAAAAGGCATAGGTATAAAAGGTTTTGTGAAATTTCAAGAAATGTTATGCTGTTGCCCTAATCCAAAATGTTCTAGAAATGGAACACGTGTAGTACCTTTTGAAGTAGAAAATCAATGACAATTCTCAGAAAGAACTAAGTGTATTTAAGCATCTATGTACAGTTATATACTGATGAGGAGATAGACGGATGGATGGAGAGATATATAGTTTCAAGAAATTTGAGATCCATGAATTGTTTAAAGTTTGGTTTTTACCTCAACAGATCCTGTTCACTAAATTTACATGATTTCTATGCTACGTTTGCAAGTTCATGCCCACTGCTTCAACTAGTGTTAAGGGATGTTATAAGATTCTAATGCCTCATGAAAAATTTATCCAATTAACTCTTTTGATTTATTGTCAGAGATCTTCTAAAGATAAATTGTAGTTACTGAAAACAGTTCATTTGTCTGTGAAATATGGTATCATTACGAAGTATAATATAAGTGACTGATCCAGTGCCTCGCCTTGCTCATACCGAGTTCATGCTACTAGAGTTCTTGTTAGGTTGAATTAGTATATGGATTCTGATAATTGCTATTAAAATCAGGTGAGATGTTAAAAGACCAAAGTAAAGCAAAAGGCCACGGGAGATGGCAACATGGATTAAAGGAATTATTGAACTCTTATTCCAGAACATAGGGATAAATCTTAAAGATTGCCGTCTTTAAACTCACCCTGTATCTTATTGAAGAGAGCAATAAAAACTTCTGTCTGGTCTCAGTGTGTTAAAGCTACTGCTGAAAGGGTGTGAGACTGAAGGGATCCAGCGGTGAGTTGTAAGTGACACATGCATGAACCTGTTCACAATTAACCTTTTTCTCCCTCTCAGAATTCACAAGGGACTTGGCCCACAGGAAGCCGGAGTTAGCTTTCTTCTCCTTTCAGTGAGGAGAAAATGCGTTTTGCAGAAAATACTCCCTGTTCACCATATCAGAGATCACTTGGAGAATAAGTTAATGTCACATTACCATCCACAGGTTAGCTAAGTGTTGAAAGAAGTTGGTACGGATAGAGGCTGGGAAGACTTACTCTTAAGAGTGTAAAGCCTGAATAATGTCAAAATGCAAGCAAACTGAACAGCGAAAATAGAGAGATTATAAACAACCCCTGTCAGAAGCAAAGATAAGCCAGGGGGACTACTTCTGAATATTCCTCAGGGACAGATTATAAATTCTTGCTTCCTTGGAGGAAGACTATCCAGGAAATGCCTGTGATACAGGAATGGAAGGCTTTTTATTTTGTCTTCTTTTTCCCAAAAAACAGATACTCTCAGCTCGGAGGGTGGGGGGGAGTTCTTCTCCCATGAAAGTAGAACTGCTTTTAGGAAAAGAAAGAGCAAATGCTGAAATGAGGTGAATTCATGTTAGTAGTAGGTTGACATTATTCTTTGAAAACCCCACGCAATTTGTGAACTATTGTATACCTAGTGTCCAACACACATTAGGCAAACATTACATTTTTGCTGAGTAAATATGAACTAATGAATACATGAAAGACTTTTTTTAAAAAAACATAGGTAGATAGAGGGGCGCCTGGGTGGCTCAGTAGTTAAGCGTCTGCCTTCGGCTCAGGTCATGATCCCAGGGTCCTGGGATCGAGCCCCGCATCGGGCTCCCTGCTCAGCGGGAAGCCTGCTTCTCCCTCTCCCACTCGCCCTGCTTGTGTTCCCTCTCTCGCTGTGTCTCTCTCTGTCAAATAAGCAAATAAAATCTTTAAAAAAACCCCACAAAAACATAGGTAGATAGAGAGGTCAGTGAGCAAATATAAAAAAGGGAGCTAGGTACCTTTATATATCCAACACAAACTGATATATTCAATTTTCTTTCTGGCAAATTAATATTACCATTCTTTATAATAATCACATAGTTCCATATGTTTAGCTAACACTTGTGATCTTATTGTATTCTTCACCTCTATGCCGAAACTCTTATTTTCACCAGTGATGGGAATTAACTCTCGTACCATAAGAGTGTTGGAGAAATCTATCTTCAAGGGATAACCCTCATAGCAGAACCAGGTTAATGTGGGGAGAGGCCCCCACCCAAGAGTCTGTAAGCACTAGGCCTAGCTCTCCATACCCCCACTGACTGTCCAGTTACCTTTTATCACTTCTCCAGGTCCCACTTCCTATTTGGAACCTTTGCTCTTGTGTCTGACAGCTGTGAGGATGTGGTGCTCAAGCCCTTTTGCCCCGTGCCATCCTCTTGACTGTGCATTCTACAGCAGGAAGACCAGGTCCACACTCAGCTTCACTGGCAGCCCCAGATCCTAGAATGTCAGCCGTGGCTAAAAACCTAGCCCTTCTGTCCTTGGAGGGAAGATCAGACTTCGTTCCCAGTTTCCTCAAGGGGATTTAACTAGCTCATTTCAAGGTCATGTTTAGATACAACAGTCTATGAATTTTGATTTTTTTTTATGTTAAAGTATCTTTTTAAAATTTTTTATTGTTATGTTAATCACGATACATTACATCATTAGTTTTTGATGTAGTGTTCCATGATTCATTGTTTGTGCATAACACTCAGTGCTCCATGCAGAACGTGCCCTCTTTAA